ATCAGAGCAAGGGAGTAAACACACACACAGATCACTACTTCAATTCTGGGTTTGCTAAATGGCCAACGCTGCATAATGAGGAGCTACATAACTTGTATTCTTCTCCAAGTATAATTAGGATTATCAAGTCAAGGAAGATAACGTGGGCAGAGCATGTAGCACGAATGGGGGAGAAGAGGAATCCATATAGGATACTGGTGGGAAAACCAGAAGGAAAGAAATCACTGGAAAGACCAAGGAGGAGGTGGGTGGACAATATTAAAATGGATCTTAGATAGGATGGGATGGTATGGATTGGATTGGTCTGGCTCAAGATAGGGAACAGTGGAGGGCTCTTATGAATACAGTAATGAACCGTCGGGTTCCATAAAATTCTGGGAAATTCTTCAGTAGCTGCAGAATTGGTGGAACCTAACCTAACCTAACCTAACCTAACCGCGAATACCCACGCTGCTTGCAGTTACTCGGCACAGGGTTATATTTAATATAAAGGTATAGAAATTATTGTATATTACATAATAAAATTTCTCTAGGATATATTATTCTTTGTTCAAATGTATTGCTTGGGGCACGCGATAGCGTAGTTGGTTGAGGCATTATGCTACAATCCGGAAAGTTGCGGGTTCAAGTCCCGATGAGGTCATTGAATTTTTTCAATTGATGTAATCCTTCCGGCCGCATTATGACCCTGGAGTCGACTCAACCTTTAACAGAAATGAGTACCAGGAATATTCTTAGAATATTCTTGGGGGTAAAGGGTGGCCGGCGTGTAAGGCTGACAACCTTACCGCCATCTATGAATCGATTTTCTAGAAAATGTGGGAACCTCAAAATCTCAAAACCCTATGGGCCTTCACGGCCTGTTACAGGGATATCTTTTTCTTTTTCTAGAAACGTATTGTTTGATACATGTAGGAATATATGATGGTAACAGAAAATAACGAATTAAATCATTTATTATTCCCGACCCCGCGAACTACTGGACCACAATATTTCTCTCGTCACTGGCGAGTTTAGCCTCAATATTATAATATAATGACAGACAGAAACTCGCGTGTTGTGCTGAATATTGCATGCGTAAATATTTTAACATGTGTATGTCAAATATTGAAAATAATTCTGTGTCAGAACAAGATTACAACCTTCACACTGACTATACTCGTAGATTGATTTTTGTCTACTATTCACAACCGATCTTGAAGGATAAATATAAACTTCCGAGTAACAAAAAAAAAACTTCCGTCAGATAAAATAGATGTTTGCCATGTGGAATGCTCACACACCGTTCCTTTCCCTCGCTTTGCTTTCGCGACATAGCGGGGTGCACAAATCCGGGGGCGAGGGAGAAGCCTGAAGAGAACCAATCCCAGCGCTCAATGGAGTGTTGGGAGAAGACACGAAATGGACGGTAAGAAAACCCCGAAGGCCTTTTCTCTGCTTTCTTCTTCCTCCTAGCTTCCTGGCCGCTCTCCGTATTTCACAGAACACAAGCCTTTCGCAGAGACGACAATCCCTTCAGGCTTTCAGCGGAAGGTGTAGGGAGACTTAAAACCCAAATTCGTATAAACCATCCCCCAAAACATGTTTATGTTGCACACATAAAAACATTTCACAGCTACGACTGTTCCTGCCGCGCCGCAGGACTAACAGGAAGGCTGTCGAATGATCAAGTTGGCTCGAGTGGTAAAGTTTCCGAAAAAGAACCCAGGTTCGATCTCGGCCGGGACAACGACTATCATGACCAGGGCCGGATTTTGATGACCTGAAAATATTTAAAAAAATGACCGAAAAAATCCAGAAAAATTACCTAAAATATGACTCAAAAATGTAATATGCAGGGCCCGGATTTTGATGACCTGAAAATATTTTAAAAATGACCTATAAAATGACCGAAAAAAATCCTGAAAAATGACCTAAAGGAGAAAAGAAAGAACACTTCGCTTCCATGTTATTCACATTTAAGAAAATAAATGAAGAAAAATTCCCTAAAATTGCCAAAAATGACAAGAAACACCCTTAAAAGTCCAAAAATTTACCAAAAAATACCTCAAAAATGGAAAAAAATAAACTTAAACTTAAAAATGTCAAAAAAATGACAAAAAATTACCTATAAAATTTACATTTCTGTAACCAGCAGCTCATATCCGAGATTTATGTATTTAAGAGCATCGCATAGGATACAAGGAAAAAAAGATGACATGTCAAAATCCGGGCCCTGATCATGACTGATATGTCTCGTGGTTTTCCTCATTCTCTCCAGTGTTTTATTCGACAGTCTGACCAGTGTATGATTTTTCAGATCTCCACACGTGCAGACCGAATCTGGGGCCCACCCAGCCTCCTACACAATGTGTCTCGGAGGGCCTTGCCCCAGAAGTAAAGCGACAGGGGTATGAAGTTGAGCACACGCCCCCGTCTAATGCCGAGGTCAAGAGTTTGAGCTATACCTCCCCTCTCCCATATAACTTCATGGCTTACTGCTTAACTATTTATCCTATCTATACATCCATAGCTCTACAGCCCTTTGTTGGGCCTCTCTCGCTTATTCTGTTTCTTAATCCTTTTACACAGACGGTAGGACTCCTTTGACGGGGGATCAGCCCGTCGAAAGGCCACTACCTGCACACAGGACAACACAAAGACAGAATAAACGCATACAGACATTCATGCCTCAAGCGGGATTTGAACTCACGACCCCAGTGTTTGAGGAGGCGAAGAGAGTTCATGCCTTAGACGGCACGGCCACTGTGATCGGCTAGTTTTATTCTATAGTTTATCTAAAACATCTGTTGCAAAAGGAAAATTTGCTGAAGCAAAATCTTGTTGTCCTTGGGGTGACTTTTGTACTGCGACGGATTCCTTCCGCGTTTTGAAAACAGAACACAGCAACTATCTGATGGTAACGTAACGATCTTATAATGGCACTCCATCAGTCGGAGTTTAGCACGCCATACAATCTGAGTTACTGAGAGTGCCACAATATAAACTAAGCAAATTGTCTGGTTACCGTATTCAATCCAAGCGAACATTTTAGCAACTAGCTCTTCTGAAATTTCATAACTTTCCACATAAACATAGACCGTGGTCTATTGCTCAGAGTTCCTTGTTACAGATCCAGAGGTACGGGTTCGATTCCCGGCACCACCAAATTTTTTTTCTGAGTAGTGGGTCTGGAACTGTGTTCACTTAGCTCCACTTGAGGAGCTATTTCGAGAAAATAGCGGCTCCGGTACAGAAAACCGAAATTAACGGCCGCGAAGATTTGTTACCCTGACCACGCGGTACCCTCTATCCGCTTAAGATGGCACTAACTTCGACGACAAGCGGAGGTCGCGTCATATCCCAAAGACCTCAAAATGAATCCTTAACGCATTTAAAGATACTTGTGTCAGTTCCAGAATTCTGAGGTGTTCTATTAAGGTTCAATCATTGCACACTATCAACGTGTCATCGCTCATTCTATCACTGCCTTCCATGTGTGTACATGACTAAAATTATTCAGTTTACCCATAAAAGGAGATAGTCTCTAGTGCCATTTACAATTTAATTATCTTATCTTAAAACGCACAAACACGAAATTCAATAATTCGCTTCTGATAGGCAATAAGAGGAGGGGGCGATAGCGCTAGGTAGAGACCCTAGTGCGCCAATGAAAACTGCAAGGTGTAACTAGGTCATTTAATGGCCATATGGAAGAAAATGGTTCATGGCAATCTCAAAACCAATCACTTTTTCTTCATCTTACAATACTAGAAGACTCCCAAATATCTGGCCATCGGACTCTCTTACTTGCCAGTTTAATCCAGTTCGCCAACATATGATCTATTTTAATCCTGCGTTCGGGCTAAACTTCTGAATGCGTTTCTCGCTTCAAACACTGCCAATGTCATCTTTCACAATTCAGATATCCAAATAATATCTGGTGAAAATATATCTTAAGAAGATTTTAACTATCAGCTTTCCTCCGGCCCTCTGATACTGTATCCCTCTTGGTTCCAAATATTCTCCTCAGCACCTTTCCATTTGCTTCTTTTCTCTTAGAAAAGAATCACATTTATATAAAATAGATAGTAAAAATTAATGTTAAATTTAATATACTTTAAATTACCGCCTATTGTGTTACAGTCACAAGGAACATTTACTACCATCCATAACAAGTAACAACTGTTTGTCCTTTCCTGGCTGCCCCCCCTCCCCACCCCGGAGCTGGGATGGCGCAGTCGGTATGGAGACTGGGTACGGCCCTGGACAACAAGAGGAGTCGTATTTCAAGTCACAGTAGGGTCAAGAATTTCTGTTCTCCACTTCCTTCAGACCGATTCTTGAGCGCACCCAGCCCCATATCCAATTGATCACGGGGATAAAGGGGCCGGGGCGTGAAGCCGACCACTCACCTCCGCCTAGTACCGAGGTCAAGAAAATACGGATCTATACATCCACTCCCTCATACGCCTTTCTGGTGTAGTGCTTAGTTAAGCACAGGGACATATTCACCTTTACGCATGTCTGCCCCTCTTTTAAACACAAGAATGTAAAAAACTAAAAAATTTACAAATTACCTAAGTTAGAGCGCCATGGTTGTTAAATCTACGTTCAGATGTCGCAGTAGAGAACCCACATTCAAAATATTTCTCTTATATACACGAATGCATTTTATTTCTTTAATGCAAATTTTATTTTTATATAATGCTTTAGCTAAATTATATTTTGTTACTTGCAGAGAAGCAAATCTATCCCATACGAAGGGCTGGTATTTTTGCTTGTCATCAAGCAAGTAAAGGGATGCTGGTTGATCTGGTAGACTCCGCGCACATTTGAACATGTATGGAATCTTAATGTATAGTCATGTCCGGCAAGCTTTGGTATGATTCCCTTTATCAGTCGTCAGCTGAAATGGTTCACTTATGGGAGTTCATGCGTGTAGTACTAGTTTTTACGCATGACAAACAAATCGCTTGATTATGAAAGGAAATTTAGCCGAATTATCAGCTGGTCCCTACCTGGAAGAAGACCTGGTTGTCGCGAACCCAGCCGGTCACCATGTCAGCTCCTGCCATCTGCCCATCCGCCGAGAAACCGAAGCCGACATATCCCAGTGTTCGTACTTGTACTTCGAACGTGATATCTTCTTCACCGGGAGTCCAGAACACTGAGTAGTTGGGGTCCAAATCCGTTGAGTGGGTCCAGTGGGCGCCGGTCACGTGTCCCAGAGCCAGAGTGAGCAGTATGGCTCCGGTCCAAGCTTTGGCACCGTCAGTTCTCCACACACTAATTACCTTCGTTGTTTCCGCTACCCTACTTCCGGTTCCCATTCTGCAAATAAAGGCAGGCGTTAAACCCTTCACAACTTTAATATTATGATCTTCTGGGATGTGATACTCTGTAATTTGGTAAATACCAGAATACACGACATTAGGGCCCAGAGAGTGTAATCTTGACATCCATGAAAGCGAGAACATTAATATCACTTTAACAACGTCAGTTCTTCACAAATTTAAACATGGACACATTTAAAAAAAAAAAAAAGCAGCTTTTCGGATTATGTCCTTATGTCGGTAATCAGATGAACAAAAAACTGTACGTAGGGATCCCCAGGCAAAGCTGCACTCAAACCACTGACATCATCAATTATAAAGTTCATTATCATTAATTCCAATACTGAGTGACACTCACTGAAATTACATGGACAGAAAAATGTCACTCGTTGCATACTCAAAAAAAAATTTAACATTTTAAAGCATAATGGTAACTATATACACCACCTGCTTCAACATTCAAAATCTGTGTTTTTCGCCCACAGACTGTGTGAGGTATTTTATTATTCTTTGAATAAACAACGATTTTCCAATACAGAATTAACAATCAGAGTTTTCTGTTGGAGCGATGGTGTTCTTGTGAATTACGAACTGAAATTTTAAATATTTTTATGACCTCTATGTTTCAAAATATTTTTATACTTTAATTTAATGTTAGCATGTGTTACACGAATTTTACCTAAAGCATTCTAAACGCAATGTCTTTCACACAGAGATATTGGGTTTTCGGACTTTATGCATCGCCCTGGTTTTTAAGATAAATAAGAAAAAAACACGACGTTTCGGAAACTGGATCTGTTTCCGTCCTCAGGTGAGGTAAAACAGTGATTGAGGCTAGCTCTTTCTAAGGGACCCAACAGAATAGGTATTTTACCTCGCCTGAGGACGGAAACAGATCCAGTTTCCGAAACGTCGTGTTTTTTCTTAGTTATCTTAAAATCAGGACGATGGATAAAGTCCAAAAACCCAATATATCAGTGTGTTATACACCATCGTCAGAATCCTATAGTAACTACAATGCCTTTCTTTAAATATTATTAACCTAGATGCGAGAACCCAAGCATGCAACCAGTATTTAACGACAACCCAAATAGCACTTGTGTGTTTAACAGTACAATATTTGCTTGTCAACTGGCAAATGCGGCAGATAAACTGGTAAATAATTCTGTTTTGTGGGACTTAGGAATTAAGTTCCAGGAAAAGCAGAAATATTATATCGTAGTTTCATATTCTGTGTGTGAAACCGTTCTCTCCCGTTATCACAACAGGTACTAACGCCGCATCATATGCCCCTCGTTTCATATACATTTCGACTCATTAACCCTCATCAGTTATGTGGGTTTTTTTACATTCAAATGTATTCCACTTTTCTACCCTGAAGATGGAGGCAATACGTTCCTCCAAAACGTCGGTTTACACAATATCTACACGGAACCAAATTCCAGGAGACGGCATTCTTCAAAGTCACGGCCGTGAAAACCTCAAATTCTACGTAATATTTTGGTTCGTTAACTGTTTCTCTTTCAAATGTCCAGAAAACGACAAGAATTATGCAACCTGTGCATTCCAATTCTCTTCATAGCTTCTTATTCGAAACGCTGCCTCGCTTCGATAAGTATCTAGCGAGATGCGCGTGAGATGTGCGCAGTAGCACGTGTTGGTTTCTTCGTGAATATATTCCGTTGTGTGCCTGATATAGCCAAAACAATTCTGGGGTAATAACTCTATTATATCACGTACGTTTCCTTTCAGATCCTTTCAAATTAATTATTCATCAGTCATCTTCTTCTCAACGCTACGTAACATAGCAACTGAAAGCGCCAACAAATAACCCATAAAATTAATCAAAAATAAATAAGTCGATATATTTTACAGGAACTCGCCAATATCAAATTTCATCAAAATCAGTTCAGCACCTTTTATTATTGTTTCATGCGGACAGACAGATAAACGGACAGATGTGTTGAAGGTCCTAAGTAACTTATTTTTTATTGCTAGTGGGGTGGGACTAAGTCCCTTGTACTTCCGCCACTTCTGCCCTACTGTACCAGCCCCAGATGATAGGTGAGGGTGATTGTGGAGCAATTGGTGGAATGAAGATTGGCAGGGGAAACCGAAGTACTCGGAGAAAACCTGCCCCAGCGCCACTTTGTCCACCACAAATCCCACTTGACCAGACCCGGGATTGAACCCGGCGACTAACCGCTTGAGCTATGGTGCGGCCCCCTGAGTAACTTACTGAAACTTTTCGTTTCGATCCCGCAGTTTTGCGGTTCAAGTTGAAAACAAGAAGAAGATTTTTTCCTTGCACCTCTTTCTAATATTCAGTCCAAAAATTAAATTTTCCTTCTTCCCAGAAAGTGATATTAAAATACGTAAAGCCAGTTCCTTCTCATTCTGCTTTGTGTTTGAGAATTTGGTATGCACACCGAGGAAAGAGATGTTAAAGTTTCAAAAACAAAGTGCCAGGAGTAATATTTTATAACCTGTGAGGGATTTACTAACGGCAGGAGTAAATTTTGCAGAAGTAATTTTATAACTGATATTCTCTCGTAGTGGGGTCTATTGCTACCCTAGATAATGAAGGGATATATGCAATATGGATTCAGAATGAACGAGTGGGACAACAAATGGATTAACATTTGTGTTATGAACATCATGAGAACGACTCCTCGTGGGAAATCAGGCAGTATGCAAGCACAATTTGGACTTTTACCAATCTGTAGAATTATAAGCAGCTTCATTTCAATATACTGTGGCACGTAGACCGTTCGCAAGGCAAGGACCGTGAAAAAAGCAACTATATAATAATCATTGCTAAGTAACGGCCCCGAAAACAACCATGTTTTCACGGCAAAGAGAGAAAACAGCAATCATGGAAGAGACGTTTACTACGCAGTTCGTGCCGAGATGATGTAACTAGGATCAGCTGGCTGCTGTGTTCAGTCTTTGTGAACTGTTGCTGTAAGGAGCTGGTAGCTGAGGACGGGACAATTCGGGAGCCCAGAGCAAGGGGGACTGCTGTCGTTCGAAGCCGCTAACAAGTAACGGCATTGAAATCATGACTGAACATTAGTGTGTGTGTGTGTGTGTGTGTGTGTAATTATGAACTGTGAATTGTAGTCCTTATTTCCAAGAAAAGTTATCAAATATTATTCATTTTGAAGTTAACTAGGGTATTGACTTCAAGAATAATATCCTCATTTGCTCTGAAATTCAGTTGAAACTGACAAATATTTTAAGTGGGCGAAATGGAGAATTCTTTAAAGTTAAACCAGATGGTAGAAATACTTACCATAAACCAATATGTTAAAAGTCAAAGTAAAACTTAATGCTTAAGAAAGAAGAGACACTTTGTCTTTGAGTTTCATTGCTTTCGTTTTATGTGGTAATAAACAGGAAAGGGCCAAATGAATCAAATCTTTTGTTATTGTCCGTAACACAGACTCGCGGTTATTACAGAATCCACTCAGATCCGACAACCCAGGTTTCGCATTATCTGGCTACAGGCCAAATTGCGGGGCAAAGGGGAAATGGAAGCTGCCCATGTTGACCGCACTGACATGACCAATGGACCACGGGACAGGGATCCTATGGGCATAAACCGCTTAAGTACAGTCATATTATCAACACTGGTGGAACATTATCAAATTGTTACAAAATCACCATCACAAACGTCATGACCATGCATAATAAAAAAAGAGAAACTCTTAAAGAATTTCTCTTGAATGTTGTGATCAGAACTTACTTACTTACTTATGGAGCTGAGCCCCTCTTGAGAAGCCGACAATTCTGCAGCTACTCAAGAATTTCCCAGCATTTTATGGAACCCGAGAGTTCATTACCGTGTTCTAAAGAGCCCTCCGCTTGTCCCTATCATGAGCCAGATCAATCCAATCCGTACCATCTCATCCTGTCTCTCTGAGGTCCATTTCAATATTGTCCACCCTCCTACTTCTTGGTCTTCCCAGTGGTCGCTTTCCTTCTGGCTTTTCCACCAATCCTATATGCATTCTTCGTCTCCCCCTTCGTGCTACATGTCCTGTCCACCTCATTCTAATTATACTTGTAGAAGTGTACAAGTTATGAAGCTCTCATTACTTAGAGATAATGCAGGTTATTTATTTATTTTTCCTTGGCACTACAGCCCCAGTGAGCCTAGGTCTACCTCCATGAACTTCTCATTTCCCTTCGGTTTTTCTAGATCTTACACATTCGGTAGGACTCCTTGGGCGGGTGATCAGCTCGTCGCAATGCCTCTACCTATACACAAACACAGAAAAACGCACACATACAAACTAAACATCCATGCACTGAGTGGGATTCGAACCCACAATCCCGGTTTCCAAGCGAGCGAAGACAGTGCATGCCTTAGACTGCTCGGCTACTGTGACCGGCAGTGTATATATGTACTTCTATATTTACGAGTTATTGCACAATGTTTTCAGTGCCTAGTCTATATAAATGTCGTCGGTTGGGGGCATGATCGCTGAGTGATGAACTGGTACAGGTACCGAATACAAAGGCCATGGCCTATCATCGCATTTCCCTCGAGCAGCTGAACGCGTGGGGCCGTGAACATTCTGTCAGTCTCCAGAGCGATACTTGAAGGTGCGATATCCCTGGTTTATACCCCATACAGAATATAGAAATTATTTTAATTATTCAAAGTGTGAATATTGTTTGAATAATATGCAAGAAGGCCGGTCACGGTAGCCGAGCGGTCTAAGACATGTACTGTCTTCGCTCACTTGAAAACCGGGATCGTGGTTTCGAATCCCACTTAGGGTATGGATGTTTAGTTTGTGTGTGTGCGTTTTTCTGTGTTTGTATACAGGTAGAGGCCTTGCGACGAGCTGATCACCCGCCCAAGGAGTCCTACCGAATGTGTAAGATCTAGAAAAACCGAAGTGAATGGAGAAGTTCATGGAGGTAGACCTAGGCCCACTGGGGCTGTAGTGCCATGGGAAAAGAAATGAATACAGAATTTATTAAAAC